CTGGGGCGGTCTGCCGGGCCCCCTCCCGGGGGGGCCCCCAGCCTCGCCGCTGGCTGGAGCTGGCTAGCATCTATTCGCGTGTTGCTTTGGGGGGGAGGTGGTTATTAGCCGCCTGTGTTAATTAATGCTCTGTCCGGAACACCCGTCGTGGCGGCTTCGTGTCCGCGGTGCTGCTGAAGACCGGGTGAGGGTGGTGGTGGCAGAGGCAAGACCTGAGCGGTGCAGGGTGTTGGGGAAAGGTCTGCACCGCTGTGCTGGGTCACCCCGAGCAAAGGTCTTGCGGTCGGATTAGGCAGGAACTTCCCCTAAAATGACTTATCTGTACTCATGATATGAACATGAATTAGCTAGGTCGTGGACTGCACCCTCTAGCTTCCTTTCTGGAGAACCTGCTGAGGCAGACTATAGCTCTGCTGATGCTGAACTGTCCTTGTTCTGAGGTTTGAAATGGGCCCTTATCCCACAGCTCTTCTAAATGCATTTCCACTTCCTTTCTTCCATGGTCTAGGTTTTTGGAGTCTGTAAAGCTACAGGAAATGCAGCCTTTGTACAATGTAGTTGACTTCTCACTAGGAAATGAGTCTTGTTTGATCTGGTCTTCTCTCTATAAACTGTAAATTTTGAAGTTCTGTTTTTTTTCCTTGCTTTAGGATGACAAAGCTGCTGTCAACTTCTAGCCTCAGGCTGCCAAAAATCTGAGCCTGGAGCTTTCCCAGATAGGTGAGCCTGGATGGCTTCTGCTGTGGCTCAGAAGTTGAGATATTATGGATTTCTAATTGAATATAGGTTCCTGTAGTGGTGTTTTGTTAGGTAGTGTTCTCTTGAATGCTGTGAGGACCATAGTTACTATTCTGTTCAGTAGCAAATGACAGACTTGTCCCCGTCAGTTTTGCTTGCAGGGACAGTATCTCATCTGGTGAGATGCTGCCAAACTGCCTACTTCCATATTTTTTCTGTCAGAAGGAAAGCATTGCTTTTGTTGGGAACGCCATGTTACTGACATCTAGTGACAAGGATACCTGGTGTTCTTTGGGTTGCAAGCTTGCCATCTTTGTCTCCAAGAAGAGAACCTGTTTCCGATACCCTTGAAGGGTATCATGACTAAATTCTCCCTTTCAAGAGAGCACATTTCCAGCCTTCTAAGAATTGAGTCTTGAGGCTGTGAAGGGTTGAATCTTGAATTCTTTGAAACACAGATGACTGGAAGTGCGCTCTGCTGATTGGATGAGTTTCTAATCTTTTTGATGGGATGGGAATAGTCACTGAACAAAACATGCTTTATATAAAAATTTCTTGTGACCCTACTTAAACTTAGCTTTAGGTCTTCTTGATGCAGGGATGAGACAAAACTTTCTTGTGCAACACAAAGTGTCTTGCATTAGTGTTCTAAGCTTATACTACTGAAGACTGCTAGTGCGTGTTAAAAATGTTCTTGGGGTTAGCTGAAGGACAGACAGAAGTACAGCCCAGGGTGCCAAAATGTAATAGGTCTGTATAGTACAGCCTGCTTCTTTCCTTTAGTAGATGACTAGAGTCACAGAATGGCCGAGGTTGGGAGGGACCTTGGGAGATCATCTAGTCCAACCCCCTTGCTCAAGCAGGGTCCTCTAGA